ACAAACTATCCTATCAATGGAACATTACTTAGCAACGAAAAGAAATGCGCCATCAAGCCATGAAAATATGTGGAGGAAACCAAAACATGTATTACTAAATGAAAGAAGCCAATCTGAAAAGCTTGTGTACTGTGATTCCAGCTATGGAGTGGCTCTCCAAGGATTTGGAGAGAGGGAGAACACAGGATATTTTGGGCAGAGAGATTATTGTGTGGACGCCATGATGGTGGGTACCTGTCATCATACGTTTGTTCAAAGCCATAGAATGAGCAGTACCCCAAGAGTGAATCCCAGTGTGAGCCTTGGCCCTGACTGGTGATGATACATCGGCATTGGCTCATCACCTATAACAAATGCAGCGCGTTAACAGAAGCTGTTAAAGAAGAAACCGGTGTGGGTGGCGGGAGGCAAGGGGCCAGGAGGTGCGGGAGCGCCCTGTGCTTCCCACTCAGTTTTTCCGTAAACTCAAAACTCCGCTAGAGACAGTCTATTCGCTATTTAACACAAATCTTAAAAGATGAATCAAGACTCATATACAAAAAAGATTTCACATCTAATTTTCCAGGGAAGCCAATCAGGGCCAGATGGGATAGCAACTTCCCCCAGCAAGGTGGAAAATGGGTTCATTTGTCAGCTTTATTTCTGCCAATTTTTCCCCAGCTGAAATACAGGATTAAAAATTCAAAAACCTTGACTCTGGGGAAAGGAATACGTTAAAATCTGGGTCCTTTACAGCATTTGCTGTTAGAAAACACCCCGAACGAAGAATGCTGGCGCAGGATGGAAGGACGGACGCTCACGGTGTTGCCGGGTGCCCCCGGTGGGAAGCGCTATAGGCTGAAAGGAACGCAGCGTGACTTCCCACCTAGCCCCCAACACCCACGGAAGCCGCTGCTCCTGGCCAAGGAGCTCGGCTTCTTTACTCAGGGCCACAGCGTGACCCCCATCACCGGGACTGGGACTGGGAAATGCGAAAGGCCCGTTTTCAGGGTCCGGTTACCCATGGAGAGAGGGTCGTTTGGGTCTGGAGGAGGTGGGCGGCCTGCAGAGGCACCCGCTCATCCCCGGAGAGGGACCGGGCCAGTGACTCAAAGAGCTGTGTGACCCAGGCGGGTGTTACACAGGTTGAGGGTCCCTTGTCCACAACGTTTGGGACCACAGGGGTTTCGAATTTCAGTTTTTTCTCAGATTTTGGAATATTTACATATATATAATGAGATAGCTTGGGGATGGAGCCCAAATATAAACACAAATTTATGTTTCATATCTAAGTATCACTTTATACAATGTTTTAAATAATTTTGTGCATGAAGAACAAAGCTCATGACGTGGGATTTTCCCTTGCGGCATCGTGTCGGTGCTGCAAAGGTTTGGATTCATTTCCTTTCTTTTTGCGGTGCACACCCGGCCCTCTGCACGCCAGCCACGTGCTCTCCTCTGCCGCTGCCCACAGCCAGGGCTTCGAAGTCCCTTGTTCTGACCTGACAACTCCACCTCGGCGACCTGATCCCAGGCTTTCGCGTGCAGGTACTCTCACTGAAGCACTCTTTGTGTGTGTGTGTGTGTGTGTGTGTGTGTGTGTCTTTTGGAGACAGTGTCTCCCTCTGCAGTTGGCCTTGAGCTCACTTTGCAGCCCAGGCTGGTCTCGAACTCTCAGCGATCCTCCTGCCTCAGCCTCCCGAGTGCTGGGATTACAGGCGTGCGCCACCACGCCCGGCTGAAGTCCGTTTGTACTAGAAAAAGACAGGGAAGTCTCCGTGTTTTGTATAGAGGAGACAGGGTCGGTATATTCCGGGTCCTGGGTAACATATGTCACAGTGCGGCCCTTCCAATACTGGGGCAGCTCTCGTGTGCTGATAGGAGACAACCCCAGACTCAGCGGGAAGCGGAAAAGCGAAAGGCCCCGGTCTGCGGAACGGCAAGCTTCTGCCGGGGCAGTGAAAGGCGCAGGCCGCTCGAGCCCTGCGCAGTAAACATGGGAGGAAACGCAAAGGCCAGGGCCCCGGGTGTCCCAGGAGGGGGGCCGCGGGTCTTTCCTGTCACTGTGTACGCTTTCTGTATGTTCGGTTTTCGCCATTTGCTTGTATGACTTTGCAATTAAAAGCAGTTAATTAGAAACAGTCAGGGAAAACAACTTGGAAGCAAGAAGTTTTTATCGAAAGGATGAGGAAGGAAAAAGTAGAAAGAAAAGAAAAAATGGACAGTGAACAACAGGCGTTGCAGCAATTTGATGAACAGTGTGTACTACAAGGCTGTGAGAAGCGAGGAAGGCGTTGGCAAATCAAGAAAACAATAAAAGGGGGGCTGGGGATTTAGCGCAGCGGCACAGCGCCTGCCTCGCAAACGCAGGGTCGTGAGTTCGGTTCCTGGTACCGGAAAAAAAAACAAAAAAACAAAAAAATTTTAAAAATTTAAAATGATAATAGAAAGGCGGAAAGGAAAAGAGCGCAGCCGGAGGCTGACGGCGCGGGGCCCTGCGCGGGCGCACAGGGTGAGCACCGGCGCCCACGGCGTCCCCGCGGGGTCGCGGCCGAGACACGCGCAG